ATTCGGACCAACAAACAATGTATTTGAGTTTGGTCGAAATTAAAAATCATGCTCGTACCTGACCGGTTGTCTGGAAATGGAAGGCATCATATGTAGATACTCTGCAGTGAAACCCCAAACTAGTCAGGAAAAATACTAGTTTACAACTAGAATTTCCTGACTGAAACCGAACTAGTTCAAAAATGACCAGACTTGTACCAAGTACAAAGCGATTTATTCATGCCCTGTTTTATTTGACTTTGACAGTTTAATACAATAAAGTACACAAAATATTGTAACTTTTATTTGGGTATATGTAAACCGCTAAAGCGAGTACGTACTCGCAATTATACCATACTTGTTAAATAATGATTAATATTCACAATGATTATAATTTAAAGCAAGTTTTTTTGGATAACCGTTTAATGATTAAATGCCGATATTAGCGCCTTTTTAATGATTACTAATTAAATACAAATTTTTAATTAATTCGTTAATTTTAATTACATCATTATTTTGTTATTTTTGATTATTTTCAATTATTTTTGACTTTTTTTAATCACACGATTAATATAATTCTTTGATTAATTTCAATTATCAATCAACAAGCTTAAGTATAGACAAAAATTAACAATATTTAATAACTTCTTGAATTATTTATTTATTTTATTCTTATCCAAATTTCAAACTTTAAACATTATTACATTTAAAAAAATTTTAAAAAGAAAGGACTGAAACGCGCAAAGTTAATGAATTTAATTTATTTTAATGAAAACTTTTATTTTTATTTTAGTTCACTCAAAAATGAACTAAAGTATTCCTTTTATTTTTAACGCAAATGTTTTCTTTTCCATATTCAATACTATTAAAAAAGATAAAAATGTAATGTTTATTGTACTTGAAAGCTTTTACTTTTAATATCATTTAATGGAAAATGCATTTAAATTATTGTTAATGTTCGAAAGTTTGAAATATTTATGTATTTATTTCTCCTTTTAATTAATACTCAAAAAATTTAACACTAATTATTGGCCAATATAAGGCTGCTAAATAAAAATATGTAATGTATTAAAGTGTACTTAATCAAAAGTTTTTTTATTATATATACATAGCTGATTCTCTTTCAATTCATGCAGGGTGAGTGGGTTTAAAATTCGAAATGAAGTTTAATACGATTTTTCATGATTTTTAGAGCAAATTAAGATACACGATTTTTTTGTTTCGCGAAAAAAAAATCGCTGAGTTACGAGCATCTGAAAAGGGCAAAGTGTGGTTTTAGAGAAAAACGGCTGACAATCTTTCCATATTTTTCAATTCGGTTTTTTGATTGTAGAAATGTTTTTGATGCTCTATATTTGTATACTTGAAAATTAGAAAAATTTTGAAAATTAACAAAATGGCGGCCATTTTTGGAAAAATCAAAAGATTCAATTTTCTCAAAATCATAATTTTAAATTTTTTTTTTTTAATTTTTTTTTGTGGTTACTACATAGAGAACTTTTTCCAATATGTTAGATGCCCGCTAAAACGCTTTGAAAATCGTAAGAATTTCTTTTTCTTCTGAAAATAAGAAGACTCAGTATTTTGGGTAACGTAGCGCCATATATTATTCATGGTTTTTGATCCCAGTAGCATTTTTCATGCTCTTTCTGTATGAGTTTGAAAATATAAAAAACTTTGAAAATTAAAAAAACTTTTTGAAAAATCTAAGAACTCGATTTTCGCATTTCGATGGGATTTTATTAGCCCAGTTACTGGCAAAACTGTCTGTATCTTCTTGTTTGTTTATCGTATTTTCTTGTTTCTCCATAATCCTCAGGCTCTCTGGTGTATATGTATATCTTGTTGCAAAATCAGCTGAGTGTGCGCTTGATATGATGTGTTGTGCTAGTGCTGTGCTGGTATTTTCTTAACTTACGTCGGCTTCATGTTCATGCATCTTCAAACTTAGATCAGACGAGCCTATTAGTATGCAAATTAAATTATTTTGACTTCATTTCACAAAATGAAAGTGTGTTCATTTCATCGAAAATATTACTAACCATCCGAACCTACAGAAAAACAAAGACGTTAATACGCTTTTTAATAGTAAGTAACAATAATAAGAATTTCTCAATTTATATTTACATATCAGTCAGTGATATTGATTCCATTGACATTATTGCACGTCACCGAAAAAAACTGTTAAAAGCATGTGTACCCTACACAATGTTAGACTCATACCGAAGTGACCGACCTCTGTCATATGGTTTATTGGGAAGAATTAGCTTTCTACTTACCGCACAATAAATAACAAATAGATATTTTGTTTCGCTATATTTATTGGTTTGATTAAGAGATATGATTTCGATACATTACACTATTAAGTAAATGTCGGAAGAGTTTTTGGCACACATTTCGGTCATAAAAAGATTTATTGTTATTTTGTTTATGATTTCTTTTACGACATTGAAAGTTCTTACGTTTACTGGTTGGACACGTACTACGTATCACATACGAAGTCTTGCACATTTTTATGGCATTTTATTTTATTAGACGTTGCCTTCAGCGCCAGTTATCGCATTTCATAATTGTAAATGATTCATTAAGTTAAAGGATCTATATATGCATGTAGGTATACGTATGTTCATATATACTATGTTTATTTTTGATTAAAACTTTTGCATATTTTAATTAGTACTAATAAAAGTAATAAAGGCAAACTTTTTGCAAAAGTACTTGAATGACGTCTGTAAATTCGTACACATACAGGTGAGTATTACCAAGAAAAGAGATAAAAACCAATTCCCTTGATTACTTCTGTGCTTCTCTTGGAAAGTTCGGCGTCGTAGTACTGCGTCACTACAAAGTCTTTCTGGCGGAGGTTGGGTTGTGGCTGGGTCTAGGTTTTCCTTAGGTTCACAATTTCACATGTCTCTATTCTGTTGGGTGTATTGACAGGAGACTGTACGATTGTGTACTTTCTAACTGGCCCAGATGGGCTCGGCGAGACCAATGCGAGGCACGTGGCGATTGCCGCTATAACCTAGCAGTAATCACCTTCACTTAACCTAACCTAGGGCACAGACTTCTTCAATTCGGAGATGGATGCTAGCTCTATTGTTGGACACGAAAGTAGGAAACTTCTGCATGCGTGATTCTATATCTCATTCTTAATATTTGCTCAAAAACTATATTGCTTTTATTAAAACGACATAAGTATGACAGCTGCGAAAAATAAATTCTCTAATTTTTCATTTCCGCTTGGCATTCTAGAGCCCGGCTTGCAAGTTAGGTTTTAGGTGCCAGCAGCATCAGTTGTGTATCGGTGCGAATGCTTACATATTTTTAGTAGAGGGATGATCTCTTCAAGTATAGTATTATGCGATTTAGAGCAGTCATTGCCACAAATGGATTTGCAATTAGCTTTTATTCAATTAAATCAGCTTGTAGTCGCTATTATTAAAATATTTACTACTAGTATAATCCGTAAATTTATCAGCTAGCGGAGGATGTAGAGAAATATTTATGTACATAAAAAGCAACCTGCAGAGAACACACAGGCTCACAGCCGGGAGCTTAAAATGGAAGTAGTACAAAAATAAAGCCCATTTCAGTGTCCAGCTGCCGACGCTTGACTCTCTTTACAGCAAATCGGCTTAAAAGTGCGCGTAGGTAGAACGAAAAGAGCAGCAAAAAGATGCATATTTTGTTCGCAAGCATAAATAGTGAGATATGCTTTTTCTAGGAAAGCGGCAAATTCGAACGAATGCGCATTTACATACCTACATACATATGTATGTACATATACATATATGAATGTATATATATATTTCAAAATGATAAGCCTGCATCAACTTTACTTGGAATTCAATAAGCATTATTAGCGAAAGAAAATATGTTCAAAACACTTAAAAAAAAAAAAATTTTAAATTCAAAATAAAAATATGCAATTTTAAATATGTAGTTACACACAAACAAAACCGACAAATTAAAATCAAAAAAAAAATAAAAATTTAAAATTTAAAATAAAAATATGCAATTTTAAATATGTAGTTACACACAAACAAAACCGACAAATTAAAATGTTCCAGGTATACACATTGGCTCACAGTGTACATTTTCCATAAAGTATATTAACTCAAAATCTATAATTTTTGTTGTTATGTGCATGAATTTTCACGGCTTATATGCAGTGGCACCCACTTGAATAGCGTCTTCTTTTGAAAGTCAGTATTAACAGTTTTTCCTTTTGTTTATTCAATATTCATTAATTTTTTATAAAAATATAACATATTCTAGAAGAAACCCTGTAAATGCGTTTATCAACCTTTTAATTTAGTAAAAAAAAAGGTACAAGTTTCTAAAATTTTTCCTAAATTTATGAAATTTTTTTTATTGGGGGTGTTACCATACAAAGTATGTATACTCGCTTATTTTTTTTTTACTCTAAAATTTTTCTTAGATAAGTTTAAAATATTTATTAAAAATTTTATTATCAAGTTTGAAAATCGGATTATATAAACACAATACGTTATATATACATATATTTTTTTTCAATATTAAATAAACAATAAGATACATTTTCAATACTGAGTATCAAACAGGGCGCTATTCAGGTTGCCGGTAATATACACTCCCAGGCATTAGATTAGCAGACCCTTTTTATGCTCAGTATGTACAGTTTCCTTTTTGTTTGTTTAATTTTCATTATAAATATTATTATTTCGTATAAAAATGTAGCATATGCTACGTGTAAATCCGATTTTAAAATTTTATAAAAAGTAAAAAAATGTCAACAAAGGGTGTGCTATCCTAATGACCTGCAGTGCTTAAGTTAATAATACTTTTAGAAAAGTTTCGAGTATGCAGTTTTGTAGCCCAGTAAATTTTAGTATTTGTTTTTTTTTTTTGATTGATGGTGCTGCACATTTTCTTCCATAAAAAAAATTCTAGAGCATTCACCGAAAAAATTGTCCAAATTCAACCGTATTTTGCAGCTACTTGAAACTTGCACTTTATTATACTAAACTACAAAAACTGCATATCCGAAATTTTTCTAAAAATATAATTAATTTATGCACTGCAGATCATTAGGAGAGCACACCCTTTGTTGATATATTTTTTTTAACTTTATATACAATTTTAAAATCGGATTTACACTTAGAATATGCTATATTTTTATAAAAAATAAATGAAAACTAAACAAACAATAGGAAACCTGACTGGGGCTGTATACACTGAAAAAAAACCATCTCTTGATCAAAGAAAAACTTTCCTTACTTTAAGGTCGAAAATTCTTCCGAATGAGTAAACAATTCTCCCGAATGCGTAATTTTTCTCTGGAATGTGTAAAAACGTACACGAAAATATGGGACCGTGGATGTAATCTATAATTTTGAAGAAATGTTTGGCATGAAAACTTCTTTAGTGCTGTTTCGTTCCAATTTTTCTTCATTTTGATTGCTGTTTTTCTTCAATTCAGAGAAGTTTTTTTGGGGTGTATCGACTGCTGAGTGGAAGATCGACCTATTTCGGCAGCCAGTTCGAAAACGCCCTATCTCAAAAAACTTTTCAAAAACATCCTTTTTCAGAATTTGGTTGAAGAACGCCCAATTTCAGAATTCGTTTCAAAAACGACCTATATCAGCACATTTTCAATACATTCTGAAGTGAGATAGGACACTTATAAATCGAATTCTGGAATGGGGCGTTCTTCAACCAAATTCTGAGAGTGTTTTTCAAGAAAATTCTGAAATAGGGCGTTCTTAAAATTTTTTTGAAATCGGGCGTTTTCGAACTGGCTGCCGAGACAGGTCGATCTTCCACTCGGAAGTCGATATGTATTCCACTTTACCTGCCATCCAAAGCGCGGGCGATATTTCATTTGTAATTTTCTGTCAAAAAACAGTTATCTTCATTGTTAGAGGTTCGTACTACCACTCCGCCGGACCTGGTTCGATCCCGTTTTTTCTAGCATCGGTCGGCCGTCGGCTAGCAATGGCAAAGCTCCGAGTGTATTTCTGCCATGAAAAAGCTTTTCAGAAAAATCCATTTGCCGTTCGGAGGCGGCGTAAAACTGTGGGCGGAGAAGCTCGGCCAAACACTCAGCAAAAGTGTAAGCGCCAAAATATTATTATTATCATTACACACATACATACATTTGCATGCATTGTCTACTCATTTTACGTCAAGCCAAACGAGGCGACCGCCATTGTTCACCGGATGCACTCACTGATCCGCTTACCTTTTTTAAAGGCCTGGCTTGACTGAACACTGGCCACGTTTCAAAGTTAAAGCCAACTACGGAAGGACATTATTCTATCAATGTGCTGGAATGACTGCTAGTTTGTTGATGCAAACAAGCTGATTGAGCAGCAAGAACAATGAAGACCAAAAAGATAAGACACAAAAAAAATGTTTACAGAAACAAATATTTATCGTAGCCAGTGAAAAAGTGAGTGAATTGAAAAAATTGACTGTATGAATAGGTTACTCACTGACTGACTGATGGCTCTTTACATTTTGCAGCATGTACAAGTGAAAAAAGGCTATTTTGCACTGTCGCCTGTAGCGAATGCTAAACCGTTAGAAACGCTTAATTAAGTTAGTGTTTGCTCAAATATTTGTTGTTTGATTGCTTAAATGAGAGATTTCCTTTGGGCGTCGTATATGACAGGCGTCAACTAAAAAGTGTTGAAAAATGCGGCAATATTTGACCGCCAGCTATATGTATTTCTAAAGTATATTTGTGGCACTGCCTGCGCATTTTTTTTTTTTTTTTAATATAAAACTAGTCGACAGCCAAATAAGGCAAAACGCCATTCTTGTTTCTAGGGTATATGTAGGTTGCTGATTCCGGATGTACACTTCGTTTTTTTTTCAGATTTGCTCTTGTTTGCGAATTATGAAAAATTCTGAAACCTATATTTTCTATCACCATGAAAAAAAATTATTAATGTAAACTTGTGAAACCCAACACTTATCAACAATAGTATTAAACTTGGTAAAAATTACGTAACGATTAAATATTATTTGCCAAAGATATCGCAAAAATTGAGATTCATCGCTGGTTCTTTCAATGAGAATTTTCCCCCAAACGTTATATATGTAGCTAAAAAATATGCTTATGCGGATGCAAAAAACGCATTTCAGAGAGGCACACATACATATGTATGTATGTTTCCGTAGAAGACGAATAACGGGCATTATTGATTGAAAAGTTGTGATTCAGGAAAATTCTGACTAAGGTAGTAACATGTCCTACGTAAGACAAATGAGAGGCAGATGGCAAGATAGTTCGAAAGACTTTTGTTATTTTAGCACAAAAGTCTTAGAAAAGCTTTTTTGAGAGAGAAAGCACTACTTGCATATCATTTAGCTCGCGTCGCTCCAACAGTCGCAGTGGCCGAGTGGGCAAAGCACAGGCCTCTTATTTGGTAGATCCTAGTTCGAGTCTAGGTCAGCAGCATTTTCTTTTTAATGTCTGGACATTATTTTAATTTTGAATTCATTTCTCCTTTAATTTTTAAATTTTATGGTTTTAAAAAGAAAAATTCATATTTTTAAATTTAATTTAATTTTTAGTAAGTCATTTTATTTGTATCTTTCTTAAAATACAGTTTTTTCTTTTTTTAATTTAGTTTTCTTTTAATTTTTAGATTTCATTGTTTAAAAATGAAAAAATAAAATTTTTTAAATTCAATTAATTTTATTTATTTTTTCTTATTATGTAAATTGGTTTTCTCGTGTTAATTTTATTTTCATTGAATTTTTATATCTCATTATTATATTAATTAAGAATTTATTTTTTATCACATCTAATTTTTAGGATCTCATTTTATTTTTTTTTCTATTTTAATTTGACTTTCCTTCAATTTTAAGATTTTGTTTAAAATATATATATTTTTTTTTTATATTTAATTTATAAGTATGTACTATTTTCTCCTTTTTTTATTTGTTTGGTCTTTTTCCAACTTAATTTTTAGATTTTATTGTTTTAGGAAGATATTTTTTTAAATTTATTTAAAAAAAAATGTTTTTTTTTCATTTTTTATTTCTTCATTGAATTTTCTTTTAGTTGTTACTTTGTATTTGTTTTTTTTTTTTTTTTTAATTGAATTTTTGAAAAATTTATTGCTAAAAGGCGAGCAGCATAAGGCTAAGACCTCCACGTTAGCAGATCTTTCAATTGGTCTCTCGAATGATAGTAAGAGCTTTCAAGGCAGTAGTTGCCAGAATCCCGATAGGTGGTAGGTGGTGACGGACTTTCTATGAATGCCGTTTATTATTCGTCTTTACGTCGTCGGGCCAAGAGTTATTCTAAACAGGTGTGGACCACGTCCATATATTCGAAAAGATGCCTTCTGACATGCCTGAGCGGAAGCTCTGTCTCAAGCAATGGTCTGGCATACGACTATAGCGCCCGCTAAAAACTGTTTTCTGAGGATTTTTTTGTGCCTCGACGTGAAGGTGAGCGACATCAAAAGGCATCCTGACGCAAGGTTGCAGCTTCATCCACTGCGTCCAAATAGTGCCCGACGACCAAACAGGCGCAACATAGTGTAGAACCGGCTTGCCAATTGCTTTGTATGTTGCCAGCGGCGTTTCTTTGTCCTTGCCGTTGTGTGCGCAGGAGAAGGAGAGCAGTCTATCTGATCTTCGGGTTGTTCACCGTCTGAATTGGTATACCAATCAATCAATCAATCAACGTGAATGCCTAGTTGAAGAATGACCTCTTTCGTCCAGGTGATTAAGAGAGTCTCAGTTGATTTCGCCGGGGATAGGGTTAGGTTCCGTGCTCTCTTCCTTCTTCTCTCTCGGATTCAGAAAAATTGAGATTTTGATTAGGATTAAGATGTAGTTTGAGGTTAAGTGAGTAATAAAAAATGTACGCAGTATGAAGCGAACTGGAGATGATTGAAGGTAGTTTGGAAGTGTTTTACGCTTTTTAATGTTTTGGATACAAATTACGCTTTTTTTTGTTATTCGCCCGACAAGAACCTAACCAGTGAAGATTAAAAAGCTGGAAATTTTGATGAAAATTGGTTGAATTTTCCTTAATTTTGGTTTGCAACTTTGATTTAGATAAATGATTTTAGATAATGGTTTACTTGAAAACAATTTTGAATATTGAAAAAAAAAAAACATCAACACGTGAACACTTGTTTGAGTCACTGTATATTCCACAGCTAATTAAATCACAAATGAACATAAATACTTTAATACCCGCGTACTTTTTATTTTCAGACTACATACTTCTGCTCGTCTCATTAGTTGGCTGCTTTTCCAACAGTTTCAAACAAATTTAAACTCCCGTCCATTTGCGCGCTCACTCACTGAGGCACACGTCTCCACGCCCACAAACCAACAAACACACACACACAACGAAGATGTCTGCGTCGCGCGCCAATACACCACCTACCGAGGCGAATGAGGCAACAACGCACAACAACAACAACAATAGCAGTAACAACGCCAACGGTGACACAAATCACAACAACAATGCCAAACTGAAATCAACACAAAATAGTGGCACCGGCAGCATCGATAAACTTTCACCCGATCAAGATATATTCATAAATCAAGCCGATGGCTTGCCCAGCCAACATCCCACATTGCCCGATGGCGAAGTAGACAGTGATAACGAACAAGAGCCTGTGGATCCAGATTCATTTGATGATTTGCCCACATCCATTATTGTGACGAACATACACTCGGAGGTGTTTACCAATCCAGCGCTGAAGCAGGAAATGGAAGAGCTCTTCCGCACCTTCTGCGATTCGGCAACCTTCCAATGGCTACGCAGTTTCAGACGTTTGCGCGTCAACTACGACAATGCCATAGCGGCGGCCAATGCGCGCATCAAATTGCATCAATACGAATTTAATAAGAAAACAGTGATAACCTGTTATTTTGCACAGCCGGTAACGCCAGTTTCGAATAAAAATCTGCAACCGCCAGCGCCAGTTAAACAATTCCTAATTTCGCCACCCGCTTCACCGCCAGCTGGTTGGGAGCCACGCGAAGAGAATGAGCCGCTGGTGAATCACGATCTGCTGGCGGCATTGGCCAGCTTAACGCCAGGCGAATCGCACGAACTGCACCCGCAGAGCGAGGATCAGCCGGGTATTATTGTGCATACGGCCATGTTGCCAGAGGGAGCTGTGACCACCGCACCAACACTGGCGGTCACACCGAAGCCGGCCATTGTGCAGACTAAGTGTCCGGAGCGCGCGTAAGAAGTAATGGGGGAGGATGTGCTGCTGTCGCCGCAGACGAACTCATTTTTAAGCCTAGGAGCAGGAGTAGGTGCTGAGCACATGATAGTATAAGAATTAAAATGATAAAGATAAAAAGTAATTAGTTAATGCAAACAGAAATTTGGTGGTGCATATACATTGTATGTGTGTACATATATAAAATAAAAACTGTTAATTTTTGTAAACAAAAACCAATTGTAGATGAAAAGTTTTGAATATGTAGTTGAAGTTACCACTGAGAAACTAAAGATTTCCTCTTGAGCATACTTAACGATAATCTAAGTTATGTTCTACATTTATATACATATGTATGTCTAAGTGTACACATACATACATATGCAACTTTGTGTAAGCGCAATCCAATGACTATTTGAATTTTTTAGTTATTTAATTTCCAAAAACATTTTGATTGTGACCGATTTTATTCTAAGCTACTAAAATGTATACAATCTATGAAGAAGTAAAGTGAAAACATTGTTAACAATTGAATTGCGCAAAAATTCTTCAAAATAAAGTTTTAAGACACTCAACATTTTTACTTACATATAAAAAAAAAAATATCTACTACATATTTCAGTTATCAAGTTTAGATTTTCATAAATGAAATCTCATGTACATAAAATTGTATAAGAAAAAATTTCGATTTTTTGTAACAAAATAAATTTTTTATGATTAAAGCACTCCACACATTATGCGCCTAATCTGGGGTGGTGTTCGCGTTTGGCATGTCGACTTCTGCACACTTGGGCGTCATATATGTATTATTCAAATCTTCGATATTTTATAGCTTTCTCGCATTATTTTGATATTTCTAGCTTGCATTGTCGTGCGATTTTTTTCATAGATAATCTTGCAGTCTTGCAAACTAGGAAACTTCTAAGCAATTTCACCAAGAATTCATAAATGTTAATTCATTCCTCATTTATTTACAAACTAATGGCCTTATTCATAAAAAATAAAGTAGGTTTAAAGAGCTCTATAAATTGACGTTTTCATACATTTTTCAGTTTATAAACCTTTTTTAAAGCTACTTTATTTTTTATGAATAAGGCCATAGTATATATATTACAAATTTTTATTAAAAAAAAAAAAAGAAATGTAAGCAAAAGAAGTTTTCAAAGCGCCAGTTGTATCATGTTTTAACGATTTATTTTATCGTTATTTAGTTTTAACTATTTTTTTATATAAAAATATAGTTTATTCTTTAACAATTACCGTGTAAATTTAAGTTTCAGACTTTATGCAAAATGTAAACAAATTCATCGAACTTGCGCAAAATTTGTAAGCTTTTTAATTAGATTTTTTAGAATGATCTGCTGGAGTATGTAATTGTTTGGACCAATCAATTTTAGCATAATAAAGTGCCAGTTTGAGGTAGCTAGAACTTATCGTGGATTTTTCCCATTTTTTCTCTGGTGGTATTGTGTGTTTTCTTTCATTTAAAGATGTTCGACAATTTTTGTAAGGAAAATATGAGCAACAACTTAAACAAAAAAAAAGAAACTGGCAAAAATCATCGGTAAGTTTGGTCACAAAACTGCATCCACGAAATTCTGCTAAGGACTTCAATTAAAATTGCACAAATTTGGAAATTTAAATCTATACGGGTTTGGTTAGGGAATAGACTGTATTTTTTTAAAATAAAGTTATAATTTATTTGTTAAAACTTGACACGCAGTGTATGTGTTCGACTCAGAAGTCGAATGCTTTAGTATGCCGAAGCGATTACAGTACTCTAATTGGGCGCTTAGTGTGCGGACGGACTGCCTAGGTTGGGCATTAAAAGTCACCCATGTCATTACATTAATAAATCTGTGGCATTTTGATAAAACAACTTATCTAAAAAGCGCAAGCTGCACGGAAGTCTTCATCGGTTAATTTATTCCATATCTTCTGTAACCATAAGCTAATTTCCTCCATTTTGAGTCCTTCATATGCCTCCTTTTGTCCAACATAAGGGCTCTTACTCAGCAATCGAATAGACTCGGAACTGGTGACTGGGATGGCCATTTATTCGATCAACCCTATACAGTTTTTCTTTTTTTGTAGTTTTTTTATACAAAGTCTAAGAAAAAATACATCTGAAAATGACTTGCGTGCCGCATGTACTAAGGATTAAAATTTTAAAACTAATGAATAAAATTAAAGTGAAATAAATATGTACAAAATTAAAATCTATAAAGGACCCTTTTATTAAAAAAAAAAACCTGGGTGACAATTATTCGTCGCCATCCTGTACACTGGGGCAAATTCATAGCCAAAATAGAGTGGACAAAATGTTCAATAGAATGTGTTAAAAAGCTATAACTATTTTTAGATTCTACTTTGTTTCGACTATGAATATGCCCCGTTTTGTTTTGAAAACATTTCAGTTCAATACTTGCATATTTTTTTGAACTTTCGAATTTTTTGTACAATATTTAGGCCGCAGGAGTCTCGACAGGAGAAATATAGTTACTTTTTAAATTAAACTTCTTTGCTTTCGGTTTTCAAATTAATGCATTAAATGATATCTTCCTAAATTAATTGAATTCACTACATATTTAAAAGTGATTTAAAGCTTTTTGATATTTATTTTTGGTTAAAAAAAAAACAATATATTAAGCTAAATGACCTATAATTTTTATACACCAGCATATATCCAAAATTTCCAAGCTTATTGGTTACTACATATAAACCTATTTACAAACTAATAGTGTCCACCTTAATACTCGAAATCAATCAACAAATGGCAGTTATTTAAAATTTATAAAGAACTTCAATAATTATGTTAAAACAGTTTTACCATTTTTTAAGCGATTGTAGGTATGTATGCAAATAAAAGTAACACAAATACATACATGCATATTCAGTAATTAAAAAAAACAAGAGTAATTAAAAAATTAAAACAATAAATTAAATAAAGGAAGTATAAAGTATATCAAGAGATTAAGAAAAAAATGCATATGCAATTGAAATAAAATTTAAAATTAATATTATGTATGATAAAAAATTTGAAACAGATGTTACTAAAAATTCACCTAGATATGGAGATGAGAAGTAAAAAGGCATAAGTATGTCTTTGCATCTACATAATAATATAAGCAACAGTAATACACTTTAAATAATAAAAAATAATGAACAAATTGAAAAAGAACGAAATGGATTCGCGCATAACTGTTTACGTGTGTATGAATGTAATCACTGTAAATATATGAAATTTAAATTAATATGTATAACGAAATTGTGATTAAAATTTTAAGAACGTTATATATGTATATGGATTGTATAATATGTAATAATATGCTATACTAAGTGCTAAAATTGTTTTCTTAATAAAAATTATAATGAAGTTATATTGGAATTCTAAAAACTTAGTTCTTGCTAAATCCGCAAAACAACTCTTTCGTTTTGATTTGTAATTTTCTGATTATTTTCGTATGAAGTACTTCGGTTTATTTAGATTACTTTGACACACTCTGCTAATGAACTGAGAAATGTTCCAATCCATGATTTGTTGAACATGATATAGAAAAATTTTCAGAAACAAATACTCTTCGAAAGTACTCTTTTGCATTTTATATACATCAAATTTTCCTCCTCAAAATTGCTAGATGAGCATTAGCGAAAAAACGCAACCAAAAACGAACGCAGCCTTAAAAATGATTTTTTCTTAAATATACTAGAAAAGATCACGTTTCTTTATGCTGTCAACAAAATTCTGACTTGCTCTGGCTCCTCATGTTACACAGTTGTTTGCATCACCCACTGCACGTTCGAGTTTTGCAATCTTTGCTGGCAGTCCCCAGACCCACGTACTTCTGGTATATGTAGATGTAATGAGCTCCCTTCGCCAGTAAATCAATAGGTTGCAGCGCAGCCACCACAAGGACTGCATCTTCCGACACCGTCCGAAAAGCTGAACAAATCCTTAATGCACAGAGTCTGGTGATCGACTTGATTGGAGTGCATTTACCCAGATCTCGTACCTGTAGATGATCGCAGGTTTCAGCACGCTTGTTTACCGTTATCCTTGTGAGAGCGCAGTTTTTTTGGCAGCCTTCTCGCAAATGTAATGCATGTGCTCTTTGAACTTCAATCTAGCGTCGAATTTAATGCCCAGGTATTTTATCGATGGCTTAGAATATATCGTACACCCACTGATACAGACATTCGCCTCCTCTCTTAATTTACGGCTACTGATGAGCAGTGTTGCCATTTCGGTTCAATTGGTCCCAAATTGGTAGCACCATTTCTTAAAATAAGGCTTTGGTAGGTTGGTTAGTTTGGTGTAGTTTTTGAGGAGTTTTGGTAGGCAAATCACATAATTAATTCGTTTTATAAAACTTCAAGTATCTCTTTTTTCGGGAGTTAATGTAATGGATGATGTGAAAAAGAAAAGAGAAATGGGACATGTCAAAGTGGTTCTTGACTGTCTTCTAATCCATACAGTTTTTTTAAGTTAGAATAAAATAATTAAACAATTGCCAAATTTCACAATTCTCTAAAGCGAGTGAGTGTGCAGGGAGAGTATTCGTACTTTGTTTCCCTATTCCCCCTTAAGAAAAAATAGTTGACAGCTTTTAATGCGGTCAGCAAAAGTAAAAACATGTAATTTTCAAAGCTTGCCTTTGAATTCGCGCCTTTGTCTTAAATTGAACCCAAAAAGAACTGCGTGTGAAGACAAATTATGGACAAGTAAATTTTATTTGATTTTTTTATGATAAAGTATTGTACCTACTTACATATGCTACAATATTTGAATAAAATTTTTATTGAAAGTCACATTTTGGTAAGCTAGAGCTATTTTGTACCAGCTGTGGGAGGAAAAAATTTATTGAGTGGCAACACTGTTGATGAGTAACACCTCCGATTTCAGTTTGCCGAATAGAAGGCATTTTTGACATCTAAGCTGACGACGAGGCAGTACTCAATTGTGGCCGCCTTCCCACTGCTTCCTGGCTATTGCATTCACCGCAATGGCTTTAACCAGACGTACTGCATCGATGGTAATGCGCTCCAGGATCTTGCCTACCGTATCAAGCATATAAATCGGACGATAACCCTGCAAAAATCGTTGGACCATGTAGTCTATTTGTGGTATATTAGAGTACTTACAAAAGTGTTCCTCTGTCATGCTGTAGCGGACCAACTAGTGTCTCTGCGCCAGCTTATTGTTTGTTATCCGATCACTGCTCGTGTTTTAACGAAATGTGATTGAAGTTGAGCATTTGAAAGCACATTTGCATGTCTGGCTGTAGCTGAACGTGTAGAGATGCTGGCTGTTATTTGTTAGCTCCCAGCATGTTCGGGTTCGAATGCCGTCAGAGGCAACATGTAATTTTTAATTTTTGTCTTGGTTTTTATTAATTTCGAAAAAGCATTTGAGAAGTGAAGAACAAAAGCGTGTACAAACGAAAAAATAAAACAACAATGCCATTGTTAATATGTTGGAGTAGTTTTGTGCTACTCTGATGTAATGCAGGGATGGAGTATATGGTCCTGCCCTAGGACATCGCAATGTTAATTGGACCATATTTTTTATATGAATTGTGGTTAATTTTGGAGTACTCCTTGGTCCTTAGGGAGTACTCTTTACACGCATGCATGGAGTAGTCGCGATTTTTGCAGGGTTGCAGCTGGATGGCGGTTCGGTTTTCGAATGTGCAGAGAGGACTTTACTTCTTGGTTGCTTACTCAGTCCATCGTAGCACCTTTTGGTAAGGGTGATACAGCGTTGAATTTCGAGATTCGATTTCGTTTATTCGTGGATGTGTTTTTTTTTTTTTAATTTACCGGCATTCTTCAATCGTAATTGAATAGTAGACGAGTAGTAAGTGGTCCATACTACCTTTTGCTATTGTCCCTGGTTCGATTTCTGGTCCGCGTAAGATTCAAAATTGCAAGAAAACGTAGGAGAAGCTCGCCAAAGACTTAAATTCTTTTATTTTATTTTTACTTATTTGATATAAAAAACTAAATTTACAATATTAAGGTGGGCATAGCAAACAAACTTTGTAAGAAAGAACAAAATTCCTATTAAAATAAAAACTAGAGACTTGCACAGTCCTATTTTAATGTAATGTACCACAAAGGTACTATGCCAATTTAAAAAGAAAAACACTTTGGAATTCATGAACTAAATTCAAATAAGAAAATTCCGACATAGATGTACTACTTATGCTCTTTCAACCTAAACTTTTCAAAAATGATAAAACGAAAATTATGTACAAAACAAAAATTGCAAACAATAGTTATTGGTTGGTTGAAATACTATATATACGTGTGTACAGATTTTTTTTGTTTTGTTTCCGTGTGATTCGGAGTAAAACATGCAAATATGGCTAACATTTAAACATGCTGAATTACCTAAAATAAATAACAAAAAAACTATACTTAAAAATGCATAAATTTAAGCACAAGAAATAAAATTTCATCGAAGAAATCCCAGTGTGAAACCTGATAGGTATTCCTGCATATGAGTACATGCGAAAAGCTGAAATCTCTGAGTGGACGACCTCCTGCTCATTTCCGCTGCATACTAAAAATGTACCAATAATGGCAGTTGTTTGTCTGTTAATGTGTAAGTACGAATACTTGTATTTTAAAGTTGTTTAGTTATAAGAAAAAGTTGTAAAATAACCATAACTGATACGTATATATGTAAAAAAGTAAATTAATTATTTATAACGATAATTAATTTTAGATATTAAAAAAAAATATTCAAATAATAAAGTTAATTCAAAATAAATAATTTATCAGTGTAGAACTAAAATAAACTTAAATGGATTTCATTGCAACTATGCAGAATTATTAGCCTTTTGAAAAGTAAAACTTTGTCTCAAATCTAAAATGTTTGTGACTATGCAATTTACTTCTATCTTCAAATTTGAGATAGATGTGAAGATTTTCTTCATATGTATATGTACAGCAAAGCTGGATAATACGGTGTTCGCATTAGGCGATTTTACAGACAACTTTTAGTTGAAAGAAAAAATCGCCTTGCGTGAACGGCCTTTCAACTAATCGCTTCCAATGAAGTTGGGCTGCAGCCAACTTTTGATTTAAAAAATTTTAAATTTTGGATCCAAAAAGTTAGGGGATTTTAAATTTGACTATAATTTTTGGTGTATGTACAGTTTATGTGATAAGTAATAACAATCTGTTGATGAATTTTTGGAAAAATTGGCAGAAATTTTTTCTAAACCTAATATAACTAAATTTTACTTATACTTACAAAAATTTATATTTTTCGCTATTATAAATGAAGAATTCATAATTTTTGACATTGACACGATTAAACGTCAGAATTTTCACTACTGTTGCCACTTAGTTGAACATAGGAATCATCAAAATGGTTCTCGAAAATCGTCCATTGTATTGAAAAATCGTCAACGCAGAAAATATTAAAATTTACAGTGTCCGGAAAAAATTTGGGCAGCTGATTGTTATACGAAAAAAATAAATATAATAAAACTTTTACGAATAACTAAAATTCACATTACTTATAACATAAATATGTTTAATTGCATTTAGATAAATTACATACATATTATTCAATGAACTAAGCTGATAACAAAATTTCCTGCTAGAAATATTTATTTAACCCTTGTGTGTTGGAGATAAATTCCAAAAAACCTTAGAATTCAAAAGAAAGGCCTGAATTGAGAAGTTTGGTATCTACTTATAGAATACTTTTAGAATACATATATAAAAATCTTTTAGTTTGGGTTAAAGACTTTTGTGGTATAGTGTTAAAAACCCAATAATTTTATGGTAAACTAAATAAAAATCGAAAAATCGCCACTAAAACAACTGGTAATAAAAAAAAAACTGCACACAATGAAAAAATCGTCATCGCTTGTCGAAATCGTTTAATCGTCAAGACAGTTAAAAATCTTCCAAATGACGACAAAATCGTCAACCTGGCAACACTGATTTTCACTACTATTTACAAAAACCTAAATTTGCCTACTCTTGGCAAACAGCTTAACAAATTAATCACGCAGTTTTAATTTGTGGTAAATTTTTTATTTTATTTAAAATTTTAATCAAAATATTTTTATGTATATTTTAAATATTTTATTTTTATTCATGTTTAACAAGGAATGTACACTTTGTGTTGCAACTCTTCGAAAGCATCGTTCATTAAATATTTGTTAAAGGTAAATATGTATTTGTATATACATATACATATATATAAAAGTATATCTTTCGATTGAAGTTAACAATAAAGGCAATTATGTATATGCAAAATGGCATGCAATGCTAAGGTGAGGAAACAGTTTGAAAACATTCTACTACTTAACGAAACATGTAACAAAAGAAAAATTAACGAAAAATTAACGAACAATATACAGAGTATCGGCAGATTTAATTTGGCATAGCAAGTGCAGTCGCCCTCCCCTCCCCTCCCCTCTACCCCTCACTTCCAAATCACTTCCTGTCGATCGTTCTCAGTGGCACCATCTGTTCGGGATCATCTGGATAAATACTGTCTTTTCTGGGTTTGCGTCCCGCGCACTGCGCAAACCACGTATCGCCCTTGCCATAGTTTTCGCCATCTTCCAGCGATTCGGGCATCGGTTGGTTCATTGTCTCCGGTAGGAACATAACCCAGAACCCAGATAGTAGCGCAATAATTCCAAATAGCACAGCAGGTATTTTCGGATCAAATGAGTCGAGCAACGTAATGAGTGGCGTAAGTGCGCCTGAGAAACGCGCGCACATGGAACCCAGACCCATTGCCGAGTTGCGCACGACTGTTGGGAACAGCTCGGCGGAGTAGTTGTAGATCACAGCAAAAGAGCCGGCAATGAAGAGTTTGCCCATCATCACAATGGCTGTTGAAGTGGTGCTACCTTGGGTAACAAACGTGGCCACAATACAGCAAGTGCCGCCGGCAAGCATGAGCAAGCTGGTTATGGGGCGTCGTCCCAGTCGATCCAATACAACCATAATCGTAAAGTAACTGGGCAATTCCACGAGACCCATAATGAAGAGTATTAGATAGGGGTCGCCGTACAACTTGCCGGCGCTTAGCGATAGGCCATAATAGACCAATGAGTTGGCGAACCAACAGAGACAAACGTTTATGGTCTTAATGCGCAAGTTTGGCGTACGGAAGAGGTCACTCAAACCGGCCGACGTCTTTTCCTCCATGGCGGACTGCTGATTGGACTTTTGGATGTAATAATTCTTATCGACCGGTATGCCGGAGCCATTAATGCGCAGACCTCTGATCACAATATCAACTGCTTCTTCGGCACGCCCTTGCATCCATAGCCAGCGTGGCGATTCGTCCATCCACCACCAATGACCGACGAGCAGCAGACCGTGCAGGCCATACACGATTTGAAGCAGCTGACGTTCCTTGATGAGTGCGCCCCAACCGGCTACTAGCATAATGCCAGTAGCGAAGATAGCCTGCAAAGTGAACGTCAAACAGTTATTTATTTACTACAGCACTTACATACATACATATTTTCGTTAAATCTTAAATGACAAACCTGAAATGCAATACCGCAAACGGTACGTTTGCTTGCGCCCACCAGCTCCATAGTCAGTACGAAACCACAAATGTAGGCGCCTGCCGAACCGAAAATGCCCAGAAAGAAGCGCGTTACCATAAAGGAGAAGTATTCGGGTATGAAAGCCACAGCAACACCAATAACTAACTGCAACAGCGCCGACCAGCAGAACACTGTTTTGCGTCCAATCTTATCGGCTAGGCCGCCCAAAGTCACAGCGCCGGTAAATACGCCCAACATGTAAACGGTCTGCATAATCGAACCAAGCCATCGGCGATCGCAAACGAAGTTCCAATCGATAGCACGTGAGTCCTTATAGTAGGTACGATCGTAGACATAGGATACGCAAGGCACCGTGTTATTCGCTGCATCGTACATGTGACAGTTATCGAGTTCACCGCTCGGTTTCAACGGTATGGCGGCGAGTATTTCGGAGGAGTTCCATGGTGTGTACGAGTAGCTGCTATTGTCTATGCCCTCAATGAAGCAACGGTGCTCTGGCACGGCAGCAACTGTGACTAGCGAGAGCATATGTAAACCGGCCGTTAGGCCAGAGAGTACGTGCAGAAAGAATTGTATAGCCTGGTAACGTCCAAACTCGCCTGGAAAATAGTATAATCGAAATGCATATAATTAGATTGTGTGGGAAAGAAGTATACTCTTGGTCTACAAGTTATAATTTATGATTTTTTTTTTTTAATTATAAGTTGTTGAATCTCTGAGGCTTTTCACAAGTACTATAGAGGTTTATGAAGGGTGCTGCAGATCTTTGGCAGCAATTATTTATGATATCGAGCGAGATTTGGTACTAAAGGCTTTGGCAAACCAGGGCTCAAATCATCACATAAAACCAGATTTTTCGGATTATAACATACGTGAACGTACTTTTTGTCCCATTCAGCTTATACTGCCTGACGTATCACGAAACTTTTTTTTGTATCGTTTTCGATCCGCGAACGGATGTTACGTTTCGAGCCCTGGTCTGATGCTGTGGGAGCTGCTAGGACGAAGAGGAGGTTGTAAGTGCGCCGAGCAACCTAGCTTTTCTATTCCTCGTCGTTCTGAGAAAATGAGACTGTCCTACGGCACCCTATGAGGGGATGTGTATTACTCCTTCCGCAATTTAAGGGTCAGTTCGCATAACAACTGAAGTCAGCTCATTATTCACAGTGTTATGGATATGCATCATTGCAAGCCGCCAAGTTTATCCGATTTTGACATCGTTGGACTTTTGTATGAGTGTTCAAAGTAATTATGCGAATAAACATGGAAATCCCCACATTCCGCTTAATTTTGGATTAAATATTAAGTGATCTTAAGGAGAGATCGTCTACCAGGCTTGAAAGCTTTACATAAATCATGCCAAGGGAGTGCTAATTGCTTCACTGAATGCCGTAGATCTTTGAAAGAGATAAAAACCTGGAAACCGGATTATTGATGGCAATTGCTAAGGCGAATTCATATTAGGTGCTAGCGGCGGCACAAAACAAAAAACTACACTAACAAGTTATACGTAAAAATCACAACATAGAAAATTTGCAATAAATACATGATTTTGACAAACAGTACAACCACAGCGAAAATCTAATTTCGCCGGTAACATCACCTTATATGGGTAATTGCCGACGATTTGGTAAAACAAGTTACGAACGTCCACACCTTTGCAGGAAATTACACGGGAGATACATCAATAGCCACCTTCAAACATTTTTTAGAGAATACGTGACTCAAAAAGCGGGCGAATGCTGGCAAACCAACAATTGCTTCAGCCCTATTTTGGGGTTTGTAAGTAAGTATTTCCTCTCCAACATAGAAAGTTTACAAATGAATAACTCCGAATTGAAAAAGTTTCCTAACTGAAAATTAATTATTTATTTGCACTCCCCTAGACTCAAAATTGTATGGGCTATAAAACTGCATACCCAGAAGTATTCTAAAGATTCAGATTAAAAATTTTTAAGTTTTGAAAACTTCCTAAATTTGTCACTTATATTTATATAGTCTTTGTCAAAGCTTTGACAATACTTTTATAGAAAAATTTAACTTAAGAAACATTGTGCTTTCATACGAATCGAAAATTTGAAATTTTTGTATAGAAAATTATGGGAAAATTTCACGGTATTCGTTTCGTACGAAAACACGAATACGCCCCTGTGAATATTTGTTTGGCTCACTGTATGAAAAATAAATATATAAGAGCTAATTTACTGCGTGGAAAAGTCGAGCATCAGAATTGTGTACATACATATGTACATACAGTGCTGTGCAAAACAAATGCAACAAATTAGTTAGATTAATGTTGTTGCTGTATATCTTTCAATAAACAGTTATGCAAAAATTTGATGATTTATTCTTAAATACCTAAAAGTGCTTTAAAATAAATATATTTCATTTGCCATTTATTGGCGAAAGCAATTGGTCCAGACTTGGTTGGCAAGAGTGCATAACAAAAGTATCAAATCAATATTTGGTATAGGAACCCATATTATTACACTGGTCTACAAATTTCAACTTAAAGCAGGGGGTGTATTTGTGTTTAGGGGTGCAGGAAAAATTGATCACAGAAAGAATTTAATCTTAAACGATCATAGAAAATTAATAATGCCAAGGTTTTAACAATATTAAAAGTCGCTGATTACGAATCTGCAGTTAAATTTTAAAAATTTAAGAAATTTATATGGTCGTTTAAGATGAAATTCTTTCTGCGATCAATTTTCCCTGGACTCCTAGACACAAATACACCCCCTGATCTAAGGGTGCATGCGATTAATTCGGCATAGGGCTCATTCGAAAGGGCACGATTTAGCCTTTAATTTCTGACATATACAAAGTTTGTAGCACGTCAGGGTTCAGCTCTACAATTTTTCGAAAATGTCCAAAAACGCTGTTTTTAGGGGTTTCAACCCCTTTTTTCTCGAAAACGTGACGTGATGGGAAGTTTTGGACCCCAGATTCGTGTTCAGCACGAAAAATCCGTTCGGAAACACCAGGTCCCGTCTTATTCGCAAAACCCTTGTAGACCAGTGTTATTAACCTCAGCAACTCTGAGGGGCACTAATACAAGTAAATAATCTTTGTTAGGAAGTGCAATGTTTTCCCGCTCATTTTTTAAGGCTTGGAACAGTTTATTCTGGGTTTTCTTCCCCAGTCAAAAAATAGGTTCATAATATTAAATATGTAATTCTGCCGCCTCCACGCTTAACGCACATTCTACAGTTCAGTGGATCAAGACGTTAACCTCCACTGCGCCGTACTGTGCACATCCCGTCTAATAAAAGTTTTTTATGAATAATTTTTAGACTGAATTTCGACGATTTCATCAAATTGGATCGTTTACAAGTGAAAGGCGTTTCTTTTTTTTTAAGAGCTGAATCAAAATTTTATATGATTAACTCCGACGGGATGTATATGTATGTGTGAGTATTTTCCATGTTTCTTTCAACAATCCACTCAAAGTACAAACAGTTCAATGGAGTGTGTCCCATTTTCAACGTAAATATGTGCAGACATATATACATCTCCATGCGATTTGTTTGCATATTGATTTGGCGGCCTAATTAAGACCAATCAACGCATTTTGTAAACTAAATTGTACAAACAGCCACTTGTAATACGCAAGTATTTTGGAAAAAATTGCCATCAATCTATGTTACGGATTCTAAATATGTACATGCATACATAGTACATACATATGTACTTACATCCACATATGTATAAAATTATTTTTATTTGTAAGTTATCGCTTGTACATACATTCATATTGCGATGTAGAGAGTATCTATCATTCTGACATACATATTTATGTACATACATTAGGGTGCACCACTAAAAAAGTTGCGGTTTTTCACCGGAAAAATATTGCGATTTACCGACCGATTTGAAAATTTCTCTAATTAGCTAATTGTTTTAAGTCCGTTTATACAATTTTTAAGTTAAAAATCGTCTATCATCTGATGTGCTTTTTGAGAAAAAATATTTTTCATTTATAAAAAACTACAATTTTGGAGATATTTTCAAATAGGTTTAGCTTATGTTAATCTTAATATTTTTCCCAAATATTTTGGCGGAAGTTTTAAAATATAATATATTTTATGTTCATATATACATAAAAACACTACCGATATATTTTTCTATTTTAATTTGAGAGTGATGCACCCTAATGCACATACATATATTTGGATTGTATTGTATGTATATACTATTGCCATTGAGAACATAAATCGAAACGCAAATATTCCAAATCAATTTAAGGCGTTTAAGTGTTTACTGTTTGCCATCGTAATTGATTGAATTGCAGCGGAGCATTCAATATTTAAGTGTTAGCAATTCTACATACAATTCGCTTTATAAAACGCTTGAATTCCATGGGAAAAATTGTTGCTTAATTATTTTATGTCAAGTTTTTAATTGCAAAGAAATGGCTAAATATTATAGGTGAATATAATGCGGAAAATTATTATTGTTTTTACGAACATTTGATTACTATTGTCGTCACTACTTAAATGGTGAATCCAACAATATCACGTCATTCAAATGTCACTGATAATATCACTGATTACAAATATATATGTATAAGATAATAAACTTTGATCCATATAATCCATATGATCCATACAAACGACTTCCAAAAAAGGCGGAGGTCATTAATTCGCCGGAGTATTTTTTTTATAAGTATATATTTTAACGTACAACGTTGGATCAAGTGAACCGATAACTATTTTACTCGGCAAGGTAATACCTCGAGAAGAAGAATATGGGCATAAATCACGGTATTCGAAACGACTGGCGTGCTTTATTGAACTATTTAAAGCATCGCTTGGGCGGCTACAAAGCCAATTAAAAAGAAGAAGAATAAACGATTAGATGCATCAGTGTCTGGACTGGATCAGACCTGTATTGTTGGTTGACCGATACTGCTTTAAGCAACAATACTTATGCCCAGTAATGGTTCTTTCATACCTCGGTCCGATACCACCATAAAAAAATTGGGTAGATAGATAGATATTAAAAGAGGTATGCACCGTAACCAGGTAGGTCTATTGTGCCCTCCACTCATCACAACACATCCGTTAGTCTCAAGGATTCCAGGAAGTCCAGGGCAGCCTTTGGAGGTAGGGAATATCAAAAATTGTGTAAATACTTCGCTCACCCACGACTGGGAGGCATCGAAAGGCTGCAGAGAGGCAAAACTCATATTGCCTTCCATCTCATCGACATGAAAAGAGCACAATGGGTCGGTGTGAATTCTGGATGCTGTTTCCTGCGCGATTTATTTTGTGCCTGGTTCCGATAAAAAAAAGATTGTTTTATAGGAACATCAATAGAACTGCAAGGGTAAAACATTTTTTACACAAACGCTGAGCAGGCTACATCTCCTAAATTTTAGTATTTCAAAAAAAGGTCCATCAGGAACTAAATTACTTCTTTGGTTAGCTTTGCGGAAATTCAGGCTAGACTTACTGGAAAGGTGCGGCACAGTGTCTGCGAGGGTTAGCCTTCTGTCGAGAGTCTCGTAGGGCTGATAGGAAAAAAAATTCAGCCTTTGAAAGATAAAATAAAGGGATTTTAAGAATAAATAGTAGTGTTTTTTTTCAAATAATAG